TTAGTTCCCATGAGTCTTTTTAAAGGGCAAATGAAGAATCTAAATACTTTTTAAAAACTATGATGGCTGAAATCTGTGGGTTTTGTAGTTCTTATCTGTCTACCTTACGTACACTCGGTTTCCATAGAGACACTATAAATAGAATAAACTTCAAATCATGATGGCCCAAAGCAGCAGTTTGATACTGTAGACTGGTTGGGGGTGGTGGTGTTTAATACTTTACACAGGTAAATGTCCCTTGGATACTCTGAATCGTAATGTTAATTGGCTAATGGAAAAACTTCAGCCTGTTTGCCCTGCTGCAGCGTAGCTTTGCTGTTTAGTAAATTATTTCCAGCTGTTAATGGGAGGAAGAGAGGCCTGTTGATAGGGATGCTAGTGGATTGGAGTGATTTGGGGATACTTCACACAAAGTAATTCCTACAGAGTAAATAATCTTTGTTTTCAGTTAAGCTGTGTGATGCTAACACAAGACTCCATGAACCATGAGATTTACATGATGACTATTTTGATGCATGGGAAATATTTTTTTTCTTACGTTTTTGGGACAGTGAATCTCTGTGGACTGGGCTTGAGGGTGTAGAATGTCTTGCAAGGGCTCACAAAATTTCAGGGAGAGGTTGAGTCTTAGGGAGGGACCATAGCTCAATGTTAGAGCACATGTTTTGCATGTAATATGTTCTAGACCCAATCCCTGACATCTCCAGTTTAAAAGAACAGGTGCAAGATGATGGTGTTGATTTTTGTAGATGGGTTACTGTTTACCGTGTTTCCCTGAAAATAAGACAGGATCTTATATTAATTTTTGCTGGAAAAAAATGCATTAGGGCTTATTTTCAGGGGATGTTTTATTTTTTTCATGTACAACAATCTACATTTATCCAAATACAGTCATGTCATCTTCTTCTGGTTGCTGCATAATGATGGAGGATGGGGTTTCATTAAATTGGGGGTTATTTTGGGGGTAGGGCTTACAAGCATCCTGATAAATCATGCTACAGCTTATTTTCAGGTTAGGTCTTAGTTTTGACGAAACAGGGTACTTGGTTTGACTGATCGTTGGCCTTCTCTTGCTTCGTGCTCTTTCTGAGGAGTCTTATTTAATTCCAAAGCATGGACACCCATTTCTCCACAAGACTGTCCACTAAAATGGCCTGTCTCCCCTAATGCTAGTCCCTTAAGCTATGGCTGATATCCACCTAGGGAAAAAAGGCCTTCTGCATCTCATTTCTGAAATCCCATGTTTATTGCCAGCAATAACAGGTAGGCTTTCAGGTAGAGTTGACTCAGTTGCCTGAGCAGCAGTGGAGGAGAGTCATCCAGCTTTTTCCATTCATTTCTTTGCCAGGACATCTTTTTACTAAGGAAGGAAAGTACACCTGAGCAGGAAGGATAACAAACATGCCACAACATGGCCTTTGAATGCTGTGTTATGGGGTTTTGTCTTGATTTGCACATATCCTTGTATCTTGTTAGGAGGAAAACATTGGCCAATGGCCAGTGGAATAACACCAGTAGTTGCTACATCAACTGTGAAACTTTAGCATCAAAGCTTCTGATGGTGGAAGGGTGGAGTTCTGTTCTCAGAATAGGGCTTCCTCTTTAGCCACAGATTTGTCCCTATAGTCTATGTACCTCTTGGGCTAAAATAGTTTCAATAGATGTGCATCCTGCTTCACTATCTTTTTGCATATGACTTGTTACAATTAGTATTTATACCTACGAATCTATCTGAGCAATGGAGTAGATATCCTACACAATGATTCTAAACATTGGACTGTGTTTGTCAGTCTCCTTGTTTTTCTTGATTTGCTTTCTTGGTTAGATTTAAACTTTCCCCTCCTGCATCTATATTTCACTTACTTTTGTTTGCTTGAATAGTATACCTAGTTTTGTTGGATCATGTTTGCCTGGTTCAGCATGAAGTGTTAATGCACATATGTGCCTTTATGATGGTTTTCATTTTGCAAGGAAGCATTTGGTATTTTGCATGTGGCATCAGATCATGGCGGGTGCTGTTTCATTATTAGTAGAGAAAAGTTAATCCACTAAACTGTTCTTTGGCATAGTGCATTAATTTAATTAGAGGAGTGCTGGTGCAGAATTATTGTCAGCAGGCTGCTTAGGTCAGATTTTCCTAGTTGTTCTCCAGAGAGCAGCTACTACAGTATCACCTCTTGCCAGATTTTTCAAATGAGCTCAGCGTTACCTGGCTTGTTAGGTATTGATTACTTCATATAAGCAAGCACAATATAGTTTATTAATAATGAAAAAGCATTAGCAGGATAATGTTTCTACAAGAAAGGCATAGCACAAGAAGACATACATCACAAAGAAACATAGTCTTATGAAAAACCACATGTGCAGAATTTCGATGCCAAGTTTCTTCAAAGGATCTGATCCAAATGCTCATTTTATATATTTTACTAAGGCAACTGGAATAACTTTTTCCAAAATTCATGCAAAAGAAAGGTACTTTATCTTTACATTGGCTCCCCCCCTTTTTTTTATCCTTGTAGAATATTTAGTGCATGGGTGGAAAGGATTTTATGTCCCTATAATGCTCCATCAATACATAGGAATTAACCTTTCATCTAGGATTCATGTGTGACTAAACCATATTACATAGCTACCACAGAGTGATGAACAGGATAAATGCAACTTGAGTTCACAGCATACTTCAAAATGGAAGCAAAGAATCCTGGGAATTATGAGCTGTGGTGGCAGAATCCACCATACATCTCTCTCCCACAGCTCAATTCACACAATTCATTATGTGCCTCAAGTGCAGATTTAGAATAAACAAATAGGCTGCACTATTTCATTTCATTTCATTTCTTTCTTCTCTCTCTCTCTCTCTCTCTCACACACACACACACACACACGCACGCACGCACGCACGCACGCACGCACGCATGCACGCACGCACGCACGCACGCACGCACACACATACCCCTACCTTTCTTTCAGTGAGCTCAAAGTGAAATATACAGCTCCCTTGTTCTTCACATCATTCTCATAAGAACCTTGGGAGGCAGGGAAGACAGAGAGAAGGATTGGCTAAAGGCCACCCCCAGCCAGTTTTGTGGCTAAGTGGGATATCAACCTAGGTCTTCTGAGCCCCATGAAACTCTCTAACTACGGTACCCCAAAGAGTCCAAAATGATACAAGCATGACATGATTGGGAACTAAATTCTCTCAACCCCAAATATGGCAGTCTGTTCAGGCATTTTCAAATGCCTGTTTCAACTGAACAATTCACCTCAGACTGATTTTTCTAATGGTGCTATTAGTTGTTTAACTGCTTTGATATATCACAAGAAATGACAGCATCAACCGTTCTCTCTACTGACTTCCATCTTATGATAATTAACTCAAAAAGGTCATGTAATTCTCTCTTTGTAGGCTAAAATAAAATCCATCTGGTGAATCTTTGGATTGATAATGCCAAATGTTTTGGTGCGTGGGTGATAAATACTCAAGATTTTTGTAGCCTGCTAGATAACAGCACATTTTGTCTATAATGCCAGCACGCACTCATGCAACATATTATTTGGGTTCAAAGGAAAACTCCAGTGTACCACCTCCAAGGCATTAAACTACTAAAGCCTCTAAGACTCTGAAGAAAGGGAAACCTACCACTTCTCCACTAAACCATTTTTAACAATGCATCTTGTGAAATAAGCCATGGGCTGCTTATGTACTTATGCATGGGATTTGGTTACATTGCCATTCACTTATATAAGCTCGAACCTGATTAGGTTTGCTTTGAGTATCTGTAACCTTGTGGTTTAGGAGAGGCAGTACTATATATTATTTATCTCTTAACTTCTTTCTTGTGAAGCTAGTAGCTTTGAGCAAAATTTTGTATTTGTTGAGAGTGCTAAGAGGAGGGAGGACACCTATAGGGAAGCAGGAATTAAATATATATCCCTAACAGATTCAATTTAGAAGGAATATTTTTTATCATTTATTAATATCAAAAGGGCTCTGCTTGTTTTAGGGAATGCTGTTGTAGATAGCAACATGAGCAGCAAAGAGTGACTTTCACCCCACTGCCAAACTAAACACACCTCTATGGTTCTATACACATTCTATAGCTGCAGCATTTGTATATTGTCTGTGGTACCATGCATTGAACTATGCATAGAAACAGTAAACTCTCGCCTTTAAGCATCTTTGCCAGTCCCTGGAGAAATGTTTCTCCCTAGAGCATGAGGGATCAAAGCCTAAGGGCACAGGCATCAAACACAAGCCCACAGCAAACCCACCAACCCACTCAAACTGCACCTAGCCTGGAAATGCCCCCAAATGGCCAGTTTTTAAAGGAAAAAAACAAACAAGCTGCTCCAGTCTGTTATTGTGGCAGTGCCTTATAGCAGGGGTCTCCAACCTTGGACCTCCAAATGTTCTTGGACTTCAACTCCCAGAAATCCTGGCTAGCAGAGGTGGTGGTGAAGGCTTCTGGGAGGCATAGTCCAAGAACATCTGGAGGTCCAAGGTTGAGGACCACTGCCTTATAGTATTAAATGGTACATAATTAACCTCAGCTCTTGCAATACTGAGGTGTTTATAGCTATCATAATTGCCCCCCTCAGCCCCACCCTTCTCAGCAAAGGTGCCTTGACAAGTTATTGTCATAGCCTTTCTTCAGAGGAAGAGCAAGGTATCATATCAGTGTAACACTGATCAATGGTAATAGTTCAGCAGATACAGTAACACTGGCTAAGAATTGGCATAGTCTGTAGTTTCATAGTCCTGTAGTACAAAATACAGTACGTACTGTACTCCAGATTTTAATGTGTGGGTCATCCTCAGCTTCCAAACAGCTATATCAGTGTCCAGCGATAGAAAATATAGCTACAGGACTGTGATGTTATTAAAAGCAGCTTTTCCATCCATGTTATATGTCATTTGTGCTCTCTACAAGACATGCCCTGTATAGTCCCGGCCATAATTATTTTTTTCAAAAATATTTTTGTGCCTCTTCTTTATACAGAAGATACAGCAGATGTCCGAAGGGTCTATGTTTGGCCATGGACTCAAGCACCTTTTCCATAGCCGTAGACGATCCCGAGAACGGGAGCACCAGAACCCCCAGGAGTCATCCCAGCAGCAGCACCATGGCATGTCTGACCATGACTCCCCAGATGAAAAAGAACGCTCTCCTGAGATGCACCGGGTTTCTTATGCCATGTCTCTCCACGATCTCCCAGCCCGACCCACTGCCTTCAACAGGGTGTTGCAGCAGATCCGCTCCCGCCCTTCCATCAAGAGAGGGACCAGTTTGCACAGTGGCAGTCGCCGAGCTAAGAGCGGTTCCTTGGAACCCCAGAAAAGCAGCCCACATCTTGGCCGCAAGGCTCCCCAGGATAGCAGCCTGACAGCAATACTGCATCAGCACCAAGGTCGCCCAAGATCTTCATCTACCACAGACACGGCCATCCTCATTGCTGAAAGTGGGACTGTCTATCTCCTCACAGAAGAGTCAGAATGCCTCAGTGACAAGGTAAGAGTGGATACCATTGAAAGTTGGGAAAGATTATTTTTTTCCTTCATCAGGGAAGTTGATATGATTTCTTGACAAAAAAATTCTAGATCACTCTGGTACCCATGTTTGATAGGGAAGTGGGCCTTGATTTCAGTAAGTTTCAGCATCTGTGTCCATATATACAACAGAACAACTTGTCTGTGAGGAAGTTAAACTAGGCACGGCATTGTTGATATGTCTGTCTTCTGGCCAGAACAGCACTGAGGGAAATAAAACAACAGCTACTCATGCTTTTGAGTTGAATTTTAATGCTGGGTTAGCAGCTCCTCTTTATTGAACAAACATGTGTTGTTGTTTTGTTTGATGCATGGAGAGTGCCCGGACATGTCACTGGGTGAAATGAAGGTGCTGGATGTCCCTGTGAATAATCTGAAAGAGGGGATGAGGGGGAGAGTTGTGAGAAGCTTTGCAAATCCTGCGTATGGGCTTTCCCTGCTGCTAAGCTCTTCTCACTACGAAAACTGTTTTTCTTGGTTCCTTTGGGGTCAGTGAGATCAGACTAATTCTGTATTAAAGTCCTGGCATTTTCTTCCTGCTCCATAAATCATTGCTTGTTGCTTTGTGAGAGAATGTTCTTATCAAGTAACTGCAGCAGCTAGAAGTGGGAGGGGTGTGTGTCAGTGATTATAGTTAAGGGGGCTGGAACATTGTTTCTTAGGTTATCCAAGCATCTCCCATGGAATAGGAGGAGTGTTCTTGGATCAAGGACATACTTTGGAAGGTCCTGGGAGAGTCCTATTTCATTTACGGTTCTCTGAGCTAAAGCGAACCCCTCTTTCCACCGAGTCTGGCAGACTAGCTCACGCTATCCTTGAGCCCAGTCCAATGTCTTCGGCCAATTGCTCAACTTTTGACAAAACCAGGACTATGATGGGCTCCCATTCAGCCCTGTGATGTTCTGAATTCCCACACATTACTTTCTCCCCTTTCACAATATCAGGTTTAATAGTGGCAGAGTAGACATAATAAAGGTTATGATGAGGAATACTGGCACTAGAGCCTCTGCCTCCAGGAGCTTTGCAGGAGTAAGGACCCTTGGAACAAGTACTTTTCCAGGGTTTTGCTCTTGTTTACAATATGATACTTGTACCAGGAAGCATGGGAAATGTAATTCTTAGTGACTGATGATATATCCTGGAGTAATTAGCTTCTCTTTATACCAGTGGGTCCTAGCCTTGGGTCCACAGATGTTCTTGAACTGCAACTTCCAGAAATCTTGGCCAGCATAGCTAGTGATGGAGGCTTTTGGGAACTGTAGTCCAAAAACATCTAGGGACCTAAGGTTGAGAACCTTAGATCTACAGAGAATCTTGCTTTAGATAACTGGCTTCCCTGAACTGGGATAAATGCTTTACCTAGTGAATATTTATCTGTAATAACTTTATTGAATCTTTATTCCTGTAAACATATCAAAGTAGCTATGCAGTGCATTATCTGCACAGTACAAAAGGTACACAGTCACATACAATGAAAAGTGTTTATACATGCACATATGTGATCCAACAAAGAAAAATATTCCATAACTGGTGAGAGAATCACTTTTTTGTAATTATGTGAAAAAAGAGGGATCTTGAAAAATAATTCTTGATCACACAGCCGTTAGCTTGTGTCGGTCAAGGCAGCCTGCATGAAGATTATGACTTCAGTAATATACTGTAGGTTGTACAAAACAGTACAGTTTTGGAAACTTTGTTTTAAAACTTCCAGCAAGCTACCCAGCTTCCAAGCAGTTAGCAATTCCCATCTTTGTTCACCAATTTTTCTCTGCCTTCTTATTGTATAAAACTTTGACTTCTCTGTTGTTGCTGCCATAGCATATGGTCTCAAATGCCAAGAGTCTCCTTTTTTGTGCTTCTGCATGAAACCTAATGAGTTTAGCATAGAAGACAGTTTTTGCTTTCATACTTTGGAGCAAATTAGAAACCCCGGAAGATATATTGACCTGATATAGTTGTTCTACATCAGTTTAGAGCAGATATTATTCTTACTTGATCATTATTCCATAAAATGATACAGCAACTTGTATCTCCAGGGTCACAGCATCATAATCATCTTAGAAGCACATAGTTGGAAGAGATCCTTTGTGGACCTTGATCTAATTTCCAAAGTCTTCTGCAAGTGATCACTGCAAACCTGCTCTGGCAAGATGCAGTGGTTCTATCAAACAAACAAAAAACCCACACAAATTTGCCTTGGTAATCTATAGAGAAACATATTGGTGAAATAATTTATACTGGAAATAGTCATAGTATAAGATAGAGTAATTTTTAATTTTCGTAAGCTGTCATGTGTCTAAGCACACCTTTTCAAATGAAGAATGATTATTTCTGACATAAACAGTTACAGCAGACTAATGTGACTGCCTGCTGTGTTGGTGATAATTTCTGTTTCTGTTTCATGGTTTGCTTTGTGGCTGTTCCTCTCTTTCTTCTTTAGCTAGCAGGGACTGTTTGGGTCATTTTTAATAGCATGGGAAACTATTTTAGCTTAGTCTGGTTTCACAGGCTTAGGCAGCAACACAGGAAAATTCTCTCCAGCAACTCTGTGCTCTTGCTGCAACTATTTCCTGCTGCTCAGGAAAGTTAAGGACAATGTATTTTTCAGTGTCTTCCAAAACAAATAGACAGATATCTGTATTGAAAAATAGATCAGACAATGCACTTGCAGGCCCTGTGAGAGCTAAGGACTCGAAGGAGTGAGGATTCCTCATCAGCCAGTGTCACAGATTGGTACTTGGTAGCGCTGCTAGAATCTGGCAAGCCCCGAGCCCCTCATGCCAAATACATTTTCTCTTGCATCAGCCTGGAAGTGGAGAGCTTTTTAAAAATATATATTTCAAAAGATTTGGTTATATTGGGAGGAAAAGGTTGCCATTCCCCAAAAAATGGTGGATTCAAACAAGTGTAAATGTGTGTGGATCAGGAACAAATTACTTCTGCTATTTAAGGTCATCCTTACTTCATGGTTCTTAGACGAGTGGTTTATCCATCCATTCCCCAGAATACAAAGAAAAAAAAGGTCATCACAGAGTGGGGTCAGGCATGTTTCAATTGACTGGTTAGAAAGGCATGCCCCTCCCCTATCAAATCATGTTTTCTTACATTGTATTTCTCTTTAGTAAGGTGGTTCCAGTTTTCTGCTACAACCTGAGCATCCAAATTACAGAGGCCAGTATGGAGCCCTGATTCACTATGATTTGTACCTTGAAGCTTGACTTCTTTTTATTTACGAAAGTCTGAATCCCTGGTTTCTGATTCCCTACTCTGAAAACACATGCTGCAGACAATTAAGTCCTGATTTGTCCTCTCCATCTTTGGTCTGCTAAAGAACCTATCCCCTCACCATGTCAGAAATAGAACCAAGAAGTCTTGATCCCCAATTCTCTCTAGTGTTACATCCCACAAAACCAGCAGCTGTGTTTTCTTGTAGACAGGGAGAGTGAGTTTGGGGATAGGAGAGCTCCAAGCTCCTGCCAGAATGAATCTGGGCTTGGAAAGACATAAAGGGCGCCAGCTTGCTTATTTGCCTGCGAGGACACAGAGAGGCGAGAGCTGCTATTTTAGTGGACTATTTTTGAAGACAGAAAACCAGCTCCCTAGCAAATACATACATGCCATACACACAACACAGAATTTTTATTTAATATTACTCTTAAAATAGCCAGACATTCATATATAGTGATGAAGCATCCCTGTCTTATAGGGTGATGCAGTGCCCCATTAGTCTCTCAGTGCAGTCGTCAGAGCTTCCTGCTGGGTCATAGGGACAATAGTAACATGCATGTTCTCATCTCCTCCTTGATTTATGGGCCACACTGGATAAAACCTCTTTTAAAGTTGTTTTGTGAATGTTTTCAATGAATGTACATGGAATGAACACTGATTTTACATGCCCGGTTCTTTCAAATATGGTGTGGGAATAGTAACTTCAGTGTTTTTCTTTAGTTAAACTAACCATGTCACAAAATAATTGTTGATCAATCTAGTTGATTTAATCAAACGATTGTCTTTTTTTAAAAAAGTGGATTTAAAAGAACCCCCCCCCCTGCAATTCTTAACTAGGTTTGAAATTAATATATTTTTCCTTGGGATGGGGGAGAGAAGGGTGCTTTTGACTCCTACTGTGTACAGTAATACAGTGAAATCATCACCAATTCTGCAAATCTCCTTGTTTAACCCAGCACTTAATGCAATTAGAATTCAGTAGCTGAGTTCAATCTGCAATGAAAGAGGAAGCCAAATCTGTCACAAAATTCCACATACTTTTTACATATAAACCAAAGCCTTCTCTCTCCAAAATCTTCTCTCTTTTAACAGTTTTAATCATATGGCTGCTTTTGGCATAGCTTTCATCCTACAGAGGAAGCTGTTAAATGTCCTCAGCATGATGGCTTCCCTGTTTGACATTGTTAACCTGTAGGGTAGTACATCCTGTTGGGTTTTTGCCTGTTGTGGAGAATTCCCATTACTTTGGAGACATGCAATATGAAAGAACATGATGTTCTTCACTAAACATTGTGATAACCCCTCTTCACACAGAGACCAATTTTGGCTTCCTGCACATCTCATTTCTTAGCACTACCACCTCATTACAATTTAGGCAGAAGAAAATAGAATTGTAGTCCTTTCTAAACAGGGCAAGACTGCCTGTACTGTTGTCTCCTTGCCCTGTTGCGTGTGGAAATTGCCACTTCTGACTGGACTGCTGATTTTGTTCTGCAAGGTCATTTTCAAGTAGGATATTTGTCTGCAGTACTTTGTTCTGCTGATTTAAGATCTTATTTTTATGTGTCATCAGGAGCACCTGTTTCTGATATGCAAAAGCACAGTACTTCAAGACTTCCCTTTTTCTACTCAGTACTGTGCTCTTCACATGAATAGAGGATTCTTTAGGAATTCTTCTTACGGTGTTCACCTGTGTGCAAGATGGGCCGTGCTGAACAGCCCTATCCCCCAATA